CTTCAGCTGGTACTGAAACAGCTCTATTGAGCAGTCTCATTTGCTTACACTCTTCAAGGTTCCAACCACAGATCTCCCAGCCACAGCACTGAGGCTGCACCTCTGCCCCAGCCTTACCCCAAGAATGCAGGGCCTTACCACAGCTGAGCTCAGTCTTTCTTGCCAACATTGCACTTCCAAATACCATCCCTCACCTACCCCAGCAACATGCATTGCCTACTGCCAGCAATACTCAAAGTCAAGCAAAGCCATGCTAAAACATTAAACATCAGCTCCACCCTGAAAGGCTGCCTCTGTTTGCAAGCCCAATGTGTGTGGGGGGGGGGGGTTGGCATTTAAAATAAGTGTGGCAGGAATTCCAACTATGATGATGGCAGAGAGCAACAGCTCTTTGGGAGGCAACTGAGTCAATGGCTCCAGATAGGACAGGCCCACAAGACGCAAGGCCCCAGGCCTTCGGATTCTTACTACCCACCTACTCTACTGCCTTTCCCACTGAAGTGGCAGTCACTCCTGTCCCTTACCTGGAAGTGTCCCAAGAGCTACACTGCTCTTAGTTACCCTGCTCATGCCCTTCTCCCCTCTGCAATGTCTCTCTTCATTAAAGTAACCCTGTTTCACAGTGAGCTGCCTCTGGAACACAGCTACTCAAGTCCCCGAAGGCTCTCCACCCACTCAGAATACGGGAGTAATAGTCCACATCTTGCTTTGACCATGTAACCCTGTCCTCTCCCTCAGCTACAGCCACCTTGGTTCCTTGCTCCCTTCTCACACTAGCCCTGACTGAGGAGCAGAGATCTGTAATCTAAAGGTACCTTCTCATCCAGGGTCCCTAGCCACCGTTTCACCATGAGATCCTCCTGCTACATCTGGCACTAAGATACGCCCCCTCCTTTCCTGCAGAACTCTGATGGCGGTTACCACCATCCAACAGTTAGCTCTCTATGGGCAGGGAACAGATAGTGGCAATTTTGTAGATGGCAAGTAGCAGGAGTCAAATAAAAATTAACTGAATAACTTATCATGCTCTCAGGTAGTCCAAGAGATAAGTATCTCTCTGTGTCTCTGTCTCTCTTTAATCTGAAAGACAAGAACTAGGCTGTGTTAGACAGTTTCAAGTCACTTGACACAAGCTAGTTATCTGAAAGAGGGCAAACTCAATTGAGAAAATGCCTCTATAAGATCTGGCTGTAGGGCATTTGTTTGTTTGCTTGCTTGTTTGTTCATTCATTTGTTTTTGAGACAAAGTTTCTCTGTATAACAGCCCTGGCTGCTCTGAAACTCATTTTGTACACCAGGCTGTCCTTGAACTCACAGAGATCTGCCTGCCTCTGGCTCCTGAGTACTGGGGTTAAAGGAATGTGTCACTAAGCCCATCTTATAGCATATTTTCTTAATTGTGATCAAAGGGGCAGGGCCCAGCCCATTCTACATGGTGCCACTCAGGGCAGGTGATACTGAGTTATAAGAAAGAAGGCTGAGCAAGCCATGGGGAGCAAGCCAATAATCAGCACCCCTCCATGGCTTCTGCATCAGTTTGTGTCCCCAGGTCCCTGACGTGTTTGAGTTCTGCTTCTGACTTCCTTTGAGAATGCGTAGTGATATAAAAGTGTAAGCCAAACAAACCCTTCCCTCTCCAACTTACATTTTGGTCATGGTGTTTTGTTGTAGCAATAGAAACCCTAACTAAGACATAGGTACAGCAAATTTTCCTTGGCTGTCATGGCCACCTGATCTAATGTAGCCCCCTTCCATTGCAGATACAGAAAGTAATGGCTCCAGGAATAGCATACATTGGGGACTATCATAGAGAAGGGAGGCTAAAACCCACTCAGCTCCCTAGTCTCCAGGCAGAAAGTATAGTCTTTCTATATGTGAGCTCATCCAGAAAAGGAAATTCTAAGAAAGACTCAGTCAAATACCCATCCAAAGATCAGGAAGTGTCTGCCCATAAGAGAAGGACTTGCAGACCATCTCTCATGCAGCTCTCTTAGCCAAGTCTTTTTCTCACTCCAGACTAATGTGGGAGACAGCTGGGATCAACCACTATTCCTGAGTCTTTACCAATGAAGATGGGGGGGGCACATCCTAAACATGAAGAAGCCAGTACATAAAAGGGTACCTGTGTCCCACCTGCAGAGGAACCAGCAAGGTATTAAGGAAGCAAGCTGCAGATGAAGCGTGAAGAGTAAAAAGAGGGAAGGAACATTCCAGTCAGATAAACAAGCATGAAAATGGGAAACTAGTATCGAATGGGATGTGGAAGACCCTGGAGTCAAAGTCCATCAGCACAGCTAGGGCACAGTTCAAAAAAAGAATGGGCAGGAGATGGGCCTAAAAAGCTGAGCAGTGGCCAGGTTATAAAGGTGTGAGATAACACAAAGAAACATCTGTGTGGAACACACATTTCTAGAGAAGCAGCCAAGGGGCTTTAAATCCAGCCTGCCTTCGTGAGTGCTGCCTAAAGGACAAAGTCATGTTTTGCAAATGACAAATCCCTGGTAGACAAAATATTGGTAGAGCACCAAGTCCTTGCTGAAACTCCACCCACCATCTGCACTATCAAGGAATTGACAGGGGTTCTGCTACGCACAGCTCCCTTCACTGTCTGGAACTCTGGGGTAAGATTCCGTGGTCTGCTCCCAGCGTTTTCCTGGTGGCAGACAAGCATAAGGCCCACATGAAAGAGCAGGTGACACCCCACGAGCCTGGCCTAGCTCTCTGCTAGCATTGCCTATGCAGGCGAAAACCCAGAATGTGGGCACTGAACAACTCAAAAAGGAATGGGGCACACCTTTGCACACTCTCCTTCTGGGAAACTTCCAGACCATCACTCAAAACAGAAACATGGCGACAGGGGGAGGCTTCGGGGCAGAAGGGCAACACAGAGGCTGTACAGGCTCTCTGCAGGGCCCAGCCTCTCCCCTGCCCTGTCCTCAGCAGCAGCCTCTAGCAAGTCACAACATTCCCCATCACTTCTGTGACATGGGAGCTACTCTCAAAAGTACCTGATATGACGCAACACGGCAACAAAGTCAGGCAGAAGAAGTCTGTCTTTGGTAACGGGGAGTCACACTGAAAAGCCTGGGACTGCATTAGTTTCCTATGACAAACACAAACAACCATAAAGACAGTAGCCTCGAGAGGCAGAAATACATCCCCTTTTGGGTCATGAAACCAAGGTGTCAGCAGACTATGCAGTCTGTGAGGGCCGTTTCCTTCCTCTTGTAGCTTCTGATGGCTGTCAGCAATCCCTGGATTTGACTTGTAAAATACTTCACCCCAATCTCTGCGTCCAACTTTGCAAGGTCATCTTCCTTACTTCTGTCTCTCCTGCATCTAAAGGTCCACCTTCTTATGGGAGCCATAGACTGAATCAGGGCCTCCCAACTGCAGGATGACCTCATCTTAGTTCAAGGATGTCTAGAAAGACCCTGCTTCCGAGCAAAGCCACAGTCACAGTTCCACATGTACAAGTATTAGGGATGACACTGTTCAACATACTACAAAGACAAACTACTATGTCAGGTGTAGTGACACCCATGTGTATACTCTCGAGACTGAGGAAGGAAGAGCTCAAGGCCAGCCTGCAGTATAAAAGAGACCCTGCCTCAAAACACACACACACACACACACACACACACACACACACACACGAGGGACAGTTTCTGATGGAAGGTTTATTGTAACTCCACACAGCAACTCCATTATTTTTAAACTTCAGTTACCTCCTAATAACTTAATTAAGTGTGAATTACAGTCACACTTAAGTAGAACCAAAGCCTCAAGATGTAAAGGCAAATGTCATACTGTCACATGGTTTTTGGTTTGTTTGTTTTTTTCTGGACACTAGGCTCTTAGTGTTTGTCCCTGTGACAGTAGGAACTCATTCTCATATTATTCTAGTATCTTCCATTCGTCTCAAACTATGACATTGTTTTTGTTTGTTTGCTTGATCTGTTTGAGCAACTCTGGTCCTGGTACAGTAGAAACACAGTGTCTGGGAACCTCTGAGGACCTCTTCCCTCTTCCAAGTCTCTGTGGCCTTTCAGTCAGTAACTCCAGTTAACTCCCAAGCACCTTATGTCTGAATGAGTGAATGTCAAAGTTTACAATTTTAACACTCACACACAGGAGCCCATTTTCCATCGTAATGAATGGTTCTATTTAAGTTACTTCAATGTCAGTATCTTAGGGGCTGAAGAGAGGGCTAACATCCGAATCTTAAATGTCAGTATCTCAGACTCTGGTTTGGGAACCAAGTAAACTACGTTTGAAAACTTGAGATGTGCTTGTCCGAAACATGGTCTAGTCAGTGGCTGACTTGTTTTTAGGCGTTTTTCACGAACTGTCTCTTCACTCCCTAAGGCCTAGAGAGGCGTCAGGCGATGACCAATCAAAGGACTTTGGAGCTCTATAGCTTCCAGACTGCACCCAGGTATTATTTGTTTCCTGTTGCTGTCAGGTGATCGGAGTCTAGAACCAGGAGGTGAGAACACAGAAATTCACAAGGCGCTTCCACGCACAAGGCAAAAGCATCAGCCCACAAGAGACACGAAGGTTAACCAAGTGGTCAAACCACCACACTCCCTGCAGAGACCGACCTCCCCGGCAGGCGCTGCCCCTGCCCGGCCAATTTCCTGACTCCACCAAACTCTCCAGGGCATGACCCGCGCGTCAGTTCCTTCCAGCTTCCCCAGGGAGCCAAGGAGTTTCGCGGAAGGGAACCTGCCAGGCTCTGGAGACATTGTGGGGCAGCTCTTCGTCCTCCTCGCCCCGAGGTGCAGCCACTGTCACCTCGCAGACCCCACGCCCCCACTGCCGACCCCCACCCCCGAGCCGCTCACATCGTCTAACAGTCTCCTTGGAGCCTAAGTTCCCCTCCTAGGAGCCCAGTTCCCCTCCATCCGCACCACGACTCCATCCGCAGTCCAACAAGACCGCACAGCTACCTGACCTCTGACCCCTGACCCCGACCCGGCCCTCCCCGTCACACCCACCTGCCCGGGACTTTGCTGTTGCTGCGCTTCCAGAACTGCTTCCTGGCCCCGTCGCTGGCCATGGTCCCTCCTCATCCCTCAGATCCGCAATACTGACACCCGAGAGCTGCCGGTCCACCCCGGGCGGCCCTCTCCTGTGCCCCGGTGGCCCCCTCAGCGATACCAGGACTCCCGAGCACAGACCCGAGAGGCGCTTCCGCCTCCGTCCGGAAGTTGTGAGTCGGCGCTTCCGGAAGTCCCGCCTTGGTCGCGGCTGCCGAGCTTGATGCCATGAGACGGCGACGCTGGGAAGTGCGCGTGGCAATTGCGCAGTCGTGCAAGCGGAGCATTGGGGTTGCGTGGGTTCGGTTGTTCTGGGAGCTACCCAACTGTGCGGCGCTGGCGGAGGCCGCTGGATCCCGGACTCCGACCCCATGGCCGAGCTTCCGGCCTTGAACTCCGGGGCGGCGTGCGTCTGGGGTCCGAGTCTGCCTTGGTTTGCTCGCAGCCGATTAGCACTGAACCGGGATCAGTAAACGCCTTACTGTGAAGTGAAGGCAGCAACTATAACCGGAGCGTATCTGAAGCGATGGGGCAGAGCCGTGACCGGTGCTCATGCGCTTCAGACTTAAGTCCGAAGTGTGCATTATTTGTGAGATACATACAGGATCCAAAAGCTTAGCATGGAAATACTTTTTTAATTTCATATTGAATGGTACTTTATATACGTTGGGTTCCTCGGAATATATTTTTAAATTTACTTTCACATTTATGTTTGCTGTGTAACGTAGCTCCTAGAAAGCTTGAAACTTGTGACTGGTGGTAGAATTTTCTATGTTCTTAGGCTAAAGGCTGAGGGTTGAAAGGCTGACGTGTCAGGCGGGATCATTGGTATAACAGTGGTAGTGCCAACTGCCAGTTGTCTTTTAACGACCCCCGCCCCCCTCCTCCCCCGCGCCCTCCCCCGTCCCCCGTCCCCCGTCCCCATGCTCCCTTGATGGTACTCAAGATCTTGTGCCTGCTAGACAAGCGCTCTACCACTGAGTGACATATCCAGCACTGCTGTTTATCACACTTTTTCTCCCTTTGATGTGGTCTCCCTGTTTAACCCAGGCCCTGGCTATATTCTCAGACACCCAGACCTCTAAATGTATTGACAAGTCCTGTTGACTTAGCACTTGATGAATGCAAGAAATCACACTAAAGTATTGTGTATGTTTAACGCCCAGGTGTATGCCAGACTTGTCCTCAGTACTCAGAGCATGGTGAATGACTCAACTATACCTCAACTTTGTACCGATTCTTTAAGAGTAAAGCCTTCTGCGGCTACTTAGAAACGTACCTGACTCCACTTTTGCTTTGCAAAAAGGAGTGGCACCTGTTCCCTTTTTAATTTCCTGCACAGTGATAGCCTCAGGACCTGGAAATAGTACACCATAAGTGTTTACTGTCTGGATGACAACCACAGGGCTCTCCAGGAATCCCTTTTGACACAAGCAGGAAACACCAGGATAATGTCGACAAATCCTATGTTATCCTTTCAGATACCTTTAGAGCACAGCTTCAGGTCCTCTCTGGAACTTCTAACAGAACTTGGAATTTGAGAGATCTGACAAAACTAGATTAATAACCATTTTCTAGCACAAACTAAAGTGCTTCCTGAAAGAAAACATTAGTGGTCCATAGCTCTAAGCCCAGCTTCTCAAGAGGCTGAGGCAGGAGAGTGGAAATTAAAAGTTGGGTGTGCCCACTTCAGAGATTACCATGGCCTCTGCAAAAGGATGACACATCAGCTGCTGATGTGTTCCTCTGTGTTTGTACGAGTGTGTGTGTGTGTGTGTGTGTGTGTGTGTGTGTGTGTGTGTGTAAGCAGAAGCCCGTAGTCAGCATCAGATGCCTCCACTGCTGCTTGCCAGATTATCTTTTGAGACAAAGCCTCTCTCTAGACCTGGCATTCATTTGTCTAGACTATTGTAGGGAAATCTCTTTCTCTGCCCACCCAGCATTAAGGTTCTAGAACACACCAGGCTTTATATGAATGCTAAGGATCCCAACTCAGGTCCTTATGTTTATGCCATGGACTCTATACCTATGAGCTGTGTCACCACCCTAGTGTTTCATGTTTTTAAAATAAAGAAGCCTGAGCTTGGTGGCATAGGTGTATAATCCCACCCATCAGAGGCTGCAGGTGAAGGATCCTCAGGTTTAAGACCAGCTTGGGCTGTTTGGTCAGATCCACTATCAAAAGAATTAATATATAAGAGACTGGGAATGTAGTGGTACAGTGCTTACCTAGCATATGCAATGCCTTGGGTTCTCTTCCCAGTACTGAGTGGATAAAAAAAGTCTTAGAATCCTCCTCCCCTGGTGAAGTTCAAGCAAGCCACTGGTACTCACCTTTAATCCCGGCACTTGGGAGCCAGAGACAGGAGACTCTCAGTGAGCTCAAAGCCATCCCAATATACATAGACCCTGACTAAAGAAAGAGGGGGGATTCCCCCTTTAAGCAACACCAAACTGTGGGTTCTCTCCAGCTCAATCTGGTTTATCGTAAGATTGGAAAAGGAACCAGCAGGACTGAGAGGAGCAAGAACTACAGGAGCAGGAAAAGCTGTGAAAGACCACAGTGGGAATCAACAACTGTTAGCGACAGGTTAAGTGTGACAGTGGCACCTTAAATTCAGTCTTCCTCACAGCCACCTGTAGGCTTTCCTATATGCTGTCTTGGGGACAAGGAGTGAAGCTGAGATTAGTCCCGTCTGCCACAAAGTTTATGAATGGTTTGTGCTAAGTCTACAAGTCAAACACCATATTAGATGAAACAGGTTGGTAGGGAGGCGCCCTTGGTGATGGCGACAGCACTGTCATGACTGACAATTTCAAAGACAAAGCCGAGGTAGGGAAGCTTCACGAATGGCTACGGGAAGGGCGGAAATGGGATTCTAAAGGAGACTGTAGGAGGGTAGGTTTAAAAGCAATAGCAGTGTGAAATCAGGATTGGAACCTGTGTAAGAATCAGACAGGACAGCTGCCCACATTCCTGAGCTAAGAAATCTGTTGAGTGAAACCGTTTGGGGAGGACAGCTTGGCTATGTTACTCGGGCTGGTCTCCTGATCCACTAGTGGAAGGCATCTGATGCTGACTACTGGCTTTGCCTACACATGCACAAGTACAAACACAGAGGAACACATCAGCAGCTGGTGTGACATCCTTTTGCAGAGGCCATGGTAATCTCTGAAGTGGGCACACCCAACTTTTAATTTCCACTCTCCTGCCTCAGCCTCTTGAGAAGCTGGGCTTAGAGCTATGAACCACTGAAGTGTTCTTTCAGGAAGCACTCTAGTATGTGCTAGAAAATGGTTATTAATCTAGTTTTGCCAGATCTTCAAATTCCAAGGTCTATTGGAAACAGGATTCCAGGGAGGACTTCCCACTCCATCCTTCAAGTATCTGGTACTGTAGGAAAAACACATAGTTGTTGAGTAGCAGGCATTAAGTGGCTCACTTCACTGACTTTTCGTTTCAGGTGTGCAAATCAAAAGCCACAATGTACTGTCTGACAAGGAAAAGACTGAAAACAAAACTGAATGCAAAGATTGATGAAATTGTGGGTTTATAAACAAAGACAAGCTTTGATGACCTGAGGGAGGGGATCAAATACATTCAACAACTTTGGCCATTTAGAAATTTCTGGTAGATAAAGATATTCTGCAACTCAGCTATTTCCCTCAGGGTATGTACCCTGGAGCGGAGCACTCAGCTGTACAAAGAAAAGAATGAATGTTCATTGCATCTCCTCTCCTCTCCTAGAGGAGATGGGGGATGGGAGAAAGGCAATCAAAATGTCATCTGCAGGAGAGTTGACAAATCAGTTCCCCGGTAGAATACTCTGTGGTAACAAAAATAAATTACTTTTACATACATCAACATTAATTTCACACTGTTGAGAGAAAAGTCTATAATGGACGCATATGGCACAATAACATTTAGTAGTATTCTGTTTTATTAATACTATTTTTAAAAGCATGAGAGTCTGAAAGCCAAATTCAGGAGAGTGTTTGCCTCTGGGTGTTGCAATAATAATGAGAAAATTCATAGGTTTTCTTGTGCTATTTTGCATGTTCTCTTAAAGCAAACTACATTCAGGTGTTTGTTGCAATGTGTATGATTTTTACACATCTACGATCATTGTATGTTAACCTGTGTCTGAGCTCCCACCCCATTATGCACTGAGCTGCTTTAAACTTAGGGGTAAGGCAAATTTAAATAATGCAGCCAAGAATGGGCAGTGTTCACTGAGAGACTTTAGGGAGGGGGAGGATGGTCACACTGGGACTCTTGTGACCATTGCTTAAGACTGAGATTGAGTAGGTGTGACAGGACAAAACACGAGGAACATCATTGCTTAAGAGAAGACTCTGAACGGGTGGGCAACCAATGTCTCAGTGTAGCTGGGGTCACAGTGCTGGCTGGATTCCACAGGAAGAAGATGGAGGGGCAGATACTGGCATGCAGGGGGCTTCTTGGGGAAGAAAGGCTGAGTTGGACATGCTGCGGTGGAGGCGCTGTAGCATTCCCCTGACCATAAAACTCAGCATGTACCACCTGCCAAAACAAAACACCCAATCCATCAGAGTCCATAGCTCCTGGAAAGTCTCTGAATGTATTAATCTTGCTTTTTGGCTTCTATAGTTCTGCTTTTGTTAATGTCAACCCAGGATATAGTTTTTTGTGCTTGTGGGGGATTCTGAACATCCAGTGTAGTCGCAGGTTGCTAATAAAAACTTTTCAATTAACTTAAACCCTTGTCTGATTCGTATTCTGTGATGGAATCCTCACAACAGCAGAAAAAATGGTCTACATTGAGAGTAGTTAGTAGAGCACATAGATGATCACTGAAGTGTCTTGCCTCAAGAAGAAAGCATATCATCTGGGGGAGAGGGGTCCTTTAGCTAAGGATAATCCCCAATGAGGGTATTATCTGAGAGCTATCAGTAATCAGCACTCTAGCACTGAAGATCCTAAAATGGGCTCTGCACAGTAGCTATGACAACCTCTCTTGACCTCAAACAAGCTCACCCAACTGAGAGAAGTGTCTCCAGGATTGTAGTTGGGGAATAGTCCCTCATTGCCACCACTATTATTACCCTGGAGGAGTGCTCCCATCCCAACCCTCTATTGAGTCAGCACTTCTCTTGCAAGTGGCTCATCTGGTAGAGTGACCCAG